ATCTATCTATCTATCTATCTATCTATCTATCTATCTATCTATCTATCATCTATCTCTGTCTCTTTGTCACTGTAACTAAATACTTGACAAGACAGAAGTAACTTGAGAGGAAGGATTGCCCTGAGATCATAGAGGAGAAGGTACAGTCCATTACAGCAGGGACAGCATGGAGTCAGGACCAGCTCCTGTCTCTTGCATCAGGAAGGCGAGATGACTAGTCAAACCACAGAAACCAGGCAGCTCTGTTGCTTAGGTGAGAAGGAGGCCAGGCAACAACACTTAAAGGGCTGCCCCCACCTTATTCAGTTTTGCTTCCACACAAAGGACACATTGCCTCCCTAAGAGCAGGCCAGAAAATGGGGACCAATAATTTATTCACACAAGCCATGGAGGACATTTCCCATTTATATTAAGGAAGTCTGTTTATCTGCCTACCCTTTGGCATTCCTCTTCTGTGAGGGATCTGTTTGTGCCTTCTGTTAACTGTACCAGGGATGCCTCTTGTTCACCCCAGCTACCCCAAACTGAAATATTCACACAGAAACTCTATTAATTAAATCCGTGCTTGGCCCATTAGCTCTAGCTTCTTATTGGCTAACTCTTACATACTAATTTAACCCATTTCTATTAATCTGTTATTGCCACGTAGCTGTGGTTTACTGGGTAAAGGTCCCAGTGTCCCTCTCCCACGGCAACTGTATGGCTTCTTCTTGACTCTGCCTTCCTTCTATCTTGTTATAGGCCAAACAAATTTCTTTATTCATTAACCAATAAAAGCAACACATAGACAAAAGGACTTCCTATACCATTTCCCCTTTTCTGTTTAAACAGAAAGAAAGGTTTTAACCTTAACATAGCAAAATTACATATATCAAGCAAGACTACAGTTACAATGTTTATTTCTACTTTACCTTTTATCATAACTAAGGAAAACCATAATTATAACTATAAAATCTTCAACTCCATCAAAGACTCCAGAAGAATATAATATTACATAAGTAAACAGAAAGTGCATTGTAAGCAACTTCCAAAATTCTGGAATTGACAGAGACATCCTGCTGCCTGGATAGGCACCTAAAGTTCTTCTGTACCATTGGGGTATCCATTTTAGCCCACAGGCCCATAGTATCCAGCAGACTTTTCCATGAAACAGGCTATTTAAAAACATGTCTGCCTATATTGGCAGTTTGTCAGTCACTTCTTCTGTATCCTGGAGAATGCCTGGTAGACTCTTTCATCATGAAACATTAACCCAGTAGGATCATCTTACTTTAAGCAAAGTTCATCAGTCATTTCTCTGCAGGTCCTGCATGTCCAGCTCATCAAGTAGTCCAGGTAAGAGCATTTTTTGCCCCAATGGCTAACAAGCTCCATGAGGAACCTCTTCAATTCCCATCTTCCTCTTAATGTAGATGGTCCTGCCAGGAGCAGATGTGTCTCATTGTCATGAAAAGTCCTAAGTTATTAAACATTTTAAATGCCATATTCTGGAGATCTCTGAAAGATTTGAAGAATACCTAACTGAAATATATCTCTATATATCTAGAAAACCCAACTAGCATGACTACAAGCTTGACTATTATAGATGAATCTCTACTAACCTATATTTCTTAATTATGCATTACATTTTTAGATGAGCTTCACAAACATAATACCTTAATCAAGGGCAGAAATATACATATAGCAAAATTGACTTTAAATTTGTATCAATAGAGCAAGATCCATACCAGTGCAAATCTCTATAGCATAGCCCCTTTTAAATGTAAGCAAATATTTATAAACAATATTTGGGAATATGGGTGTAGTTCTCTAGACTACTTTCTGCTGATTGTTGGGTGAAGTAATTTTTGTGGTTCATGGTGACCTTTCGGGGGTCTTGGAACATCAAATCACATTAGCCTGGAATGAATCCACAGGTTCTCATTCTCTGTGGAAACCAAAGTAGAACCTCTTTTCCAAAGCATATATCCTTATATCTAAATTCTGAAGCCATGATAACTTTATAATATGCATGCTGGTTTAGCTTAGCAGCTCATACAATGAAATGTCTCTCTGTACTTAGCTCCTTTACAGTCAAAAAATTCAAAGAAGAAATAATATACATATTTCAGACTCTCTGTGTTTATTCTATTTTATGTGGCTTATTTATTTTTACTCTGTTTCTTTAAATACTTTGTTTTAATTTTTTAAAAACCATTTATTTCTTTATATAATTCTCTATACTATTTTTCTTCTCTCTCCCAAGCCTGCATAAATCTATTCAACACTGTGACCCATTTAGAGGACTTTTAGGTATGAATCTGTCTTATTGTGTATCTGTAATTCTTTATGTCCAGGAGCGCTTCTTAAAATTCAAGGTGCTTATTAAAAACTTAAGCTGTGTCATTACTAGGGTATATAAGATACTGCCTGGTTGCTCTGCCCAGTTCAGCATGGCAGAACCTCTCATGCCTCTGAGAGCCATGCACACTGCCCCACTTTTAGGTACACAGTCGGTCCACATTGCCATCAAGCAAGCTATAGCACACTGCTCATAAACCCATCCAAATGCTTTCCAATATTTTATATCTGGACCTTGTCAGAGTTTGTTCTGGCAGCACAGCCAAGAAAACTGCAGTTTCAAAATGACGCAGCTTTTTTTTAACCACTGAATTATCAAAATCTCTCTTAAAGGAGATATGCCTCTGCTTGCTTCTAGCAAACAGAGCCCATCCAAGAAAATGCCACTACCAAGCTATGCTTAACTCTGTTTGTGTCTATGATTTCTTTTCAAGCTTTCTCAAGTTTTACATGGTTTTAGTCAGCTCCACATTTGATGACAATTTGTTGTGAGGAGGCTGCTTGTTTGTCCCAGCTGCCCAGAACCAAAATAACCACACAGAATCTCTACTAATTAAATCACTGCTTGGCATATTAGCTATAACTTCTTATTGGCTAACACTTACATATTAATTTAACCCATTTCCTTTAATCTGTATGTTGCCATGTGGCTGTGGATTACCAGGTAAAGTTCCCAGCATCTGTCTCTAGTGGCTCGATGGCTCCTCTCTGATCCCACCTTCCTTCAACCTTGCTATAGGCCAAGCTAGCTTCTTTATTCGTTAACCAATAAAAGCAACATATAGACAGAAAGACCTCCAATACCAGTTCACTTTTTATTTCAATGTCTTTTTTTTAGTGGTTGCATAGGCTTGCTGAAGTCTTTATTTACACTGTGAACACTATTCCCTTAGAGCCCTCATTTTCTCTGTGATGTCTGCTATACAGACATCTTAGTCCAGGTCCAAAAGGAGAAACTTCTAGAGACCAAGAAAGTCTTAAGTCAAAGTCCCTGAGCATCTGGCTCCTGGTGAGGTTTCTCTTCTGGTTGCAGACTTCCACTTTCTGTCATTTGAAGGGCCTGGCATTTCTCTGTCTTTTTCTTCTAATATTCAATTGAATTAGACTCCCACCCTGGAGCCTCATCATCTAACCTTAATTACAACTTGAAGGCTCTGCCATACTGGGGTCAGAACTCTGACATGACTGTTAGGGGGACACCATTTATTTCATGGCATTGGTTTCTTTGTCTGTACCTCGCTTATACATACCCGACTTATGACAGAATGGCAGGATTCACAGGCAGCAGGTTTCCCTCTGTTTTCTTTGTAATGTGCTTGTCAGTTTTTGTCTTCCATATGAATTTTAAGTTCACTCATCAAGTTGAGTTAAGACTGTTCTTAGTTTTCAAAATTGTTGTTCTGTCAGAATGTATTTGTTGGTTTCAGAGTAAATACAATTTTTTAATTCATTATTATTATTATTATTATCATCATCACAGGGTTATATTTTTCAGAGTTTTGCTATATAGCTGAGGCTGGTCTCAAATTCTTGATCCTCCTGTCTCAGTATTTTTAGTGCTAGGATTACAGGCATGCACCATAACACCTGGCTCAATATGCTTAAATTCAAGACTGTTTGCATGTTACACAGTGTTCTTGTTAATGCCATTCTGTTCTTGGTTCACAGCCAAAATTGGTTTTCATCTCTACTTCTCATTGTCACTTTATAATAGTGTCTTAGTCTTTGTCTCTCATGAGTTTACCATATTGAGCAGGGCCAAAATGATTGTTTCATATAATATCATTTAGTGTGAACTTGCCTGACATTTCTTCTCATTAGAATGAAGTTAGGAATTCTTCTTAATAATAATGCAAAGGTATCGGCGAATCAATCCCACACCAGTTATGTTTTAAGGGGTTATTTATTTTGGGGGGTAAAACTTACATACACCATAAACCGTCAGGAAGGGAGCCTAGTCACAGGAGCCGGGAGCAGGAGCCAGGAGCAAGCACCGGAACCAAGAATCGGAACCAAGAGGGCCTGATCCGGATCTGCTTCTCT